CGGGGTGGAGCAGCCGCTGCCTCCCCGGCCCCTCCGCCGCCCCGGCCCCTTGCCCCCCCGTCGGTCCCGCATTCCACGCCTTCCCCAAATCCCCCACCGAGCCTTTGCTTCCCTCCTCTCCAGGCCTTCCCCGTGTCCTGCCCTGAACCCCTTGGTCCCTCCGCAGCCCCCATTTCTGGGCACTTCCTCCAGTCCCTCACCGAGCCTGCTGCTCCCCCCGCCTCCCCGGGCCTTCCCCTTGCCCCGCCCTCTCTGGGCACTTCCCCCGGCGCGCACCGAGCCTGCTGGGCATCCGTCTCAGCCCCCCTGTATCGGGCTGCTCCCCCCTCGGCCCCCATCTCTGGCCCTTGACGCTACACAGAGTGGGGGTATGCTGGTAGGAGCTTGGGGGATCTGCTTTCCTCGGTCCCTGTGGCAGTCACAGAACGATTTTTATCACATCCTTAATTACCATGTTTCTGCTCACCAGCATGCAGTGTTTTCTTTTGGCAGTCCAGTGCTCTGAGCTGATGGGTGAATTCAGCCGTCTCCTCGGCTGTCTGCGGGGGTCAGTCATGTTGCACTGGGTTGTACTCTCAGCTGCTGTGTTTCTTGCTATAGGTTTGAGGTGGATGGGAGGGAGGTGAAGAACTCTTTGCCTCAGTCCTCGCTGAGTGCCCAGGAGAACGGCTAACCAGAGGGCCTGGGAGCACTTCTGAGGTCTGATAACTTCCAGGCATTTTTTTGTGAGAAAAATCAGCCTTCTAGCAGTTTAAGAAGTGTTTCTCTTTCGAGCAAAATCATAGTTACTATAACAGTCATTTTTATGTGTCTTGCCTTCTCTTTTAATGAGACTGAAATTTACTACAGGTATTGTTGCTTTTTTCCAGGCAGCTTCTTAGGAAGCAGCAGGAGCCAGTCCATATGTCTGCGATGCCCAAGATAGCACTTGTTTCAACTCAAGTTTAAGTTTTAACTTGATTTGGTTATTTACACCTGGTTTTAAAGGCCTCAAGCTCCTTCTCTTCTACACTAGGATAGAAATGAAAGCTATTAATCCTTTCAGTTCACTCTCCCTCTGCTCAAGCATGTCATTGTAGTGGTTTAAAATAAAGTCATTGCTGCCTCTGGCTCTCTAACGTGCTGGTGTGCTCAGTTCACAGGTTAGTTACCTACGTTTTTGTCTACGAAGACCTGATATCCTTGACCTGTGGTGCCGTTATCATCTGGTATTTCGCCGGCAGCTTTGAGAAGAACGTTGGCACTGTGAAGCACTGCTTCCTCACCGTCGCATTTGCTGTCCTCTCCGCCCTCCTGTACCTCTTACTCGAGACCGTTGTCTCGAGGGTGTCAGAGGTGGAAGATGCCAAAGGATTCATGCCAGTAGCTTTTGCTACGTTGGGTGTGTCCACCACCCGCTTGCAGATGAAGAGGACGCTGTTTTTTGGGGTTAGAGTTCCAGTGGTGCTGGTGCCGTGGTTTATGCTCTGCATAGCATGGTTTATCCCCGGCTCTTCTCTCTTGAGTAACCTGTGTGGGCTCCTGGCTGGGGAAGCCTGTATCCTTTCCAAGTGCAAAAGCGTGAACCAGAGGGGGATCGCTGGCTCACGAGGGGGAGGATGTGCTGTGGTTCTCGTTGCCAAGATGCACTGGCTTTATGGCGTTTCCCGGGCTCTTGCTCTGCCTTAAATTCTCACTGGCTTTGCCGGTCCCCATCACACCCAGTTCTGCATTTGTTTTTCCCCTTGCACTTCCACTTCCCCTGTGGCTTTAGTGCATGCAGAGAACATGGAGCTGAGAAGGGCGATGGTCTGCGAAGGTGGTGCTGGGTAGAACCGGGAGAATTCTCCAGGGAAAGTGGGTTGTGGCCAGAGGGGGATTGTGTGTGGCTGTGTTAGAAGTGAGTGTGTTTTGTCTGCAATCCTCCTTAACGTGCTGCTGACTTCAGATGGTCTCGGCTACTGTTTCTGCTTGGATTTTCCAGAGTCGGTGGGCTCTAAGCTGGACCGAGTGTTGCCTTTCAGTCTGCTAAAAAGGATACCAGGGCTGAAATATATCCCAGGGTCCTTAGCAGAGAGAAGAGCCTTCGAAAGCAGCAAGTAAGTACAGGAGTTCCTGTGAAAGATCTTATAGGGGAATTTGGACGCGTAAGTGGAGGCATTAAATCACCTTTAAAAGCTGTATTGTGCTTGTCGTGTTCATATCCTGGGTGCTAAGGGGAACATACTGACCCGTTCATGTTACACTGGTGACATCACTGTGACTAATACGCTATCACACGTTAACTCAACCAGGTCTTTCAGTGAAAGCTAAACTGAGGTGAAAGACCTCTCATTTGCTGCAAGGGCAGTGTGTACACATGCAAGGGTATTGCAGCTCAGCTGACATGAAGGCTAAGTCGTGCAGTTCTGCCCTAACATTAGGACTTCTGGTGTTTGTTCCTGGCTGTATTGCTCCCTGGGGCATGATCTTTATCTTTCTTTGCCCCACCGTGCCTCCCAGGAATGCTGTGAAGTGAGTCATGTCTAAATCTGTATAGGAGCAGAGCATTATAAATTAAAGATGTCACTTACGAGTTCAGTGTAGACCTTTCAATGCATGTTTTCAGTGTCAAGGCAAGATTGCTTTACCAAAAAGAAACCTGGGGGCCTGTGGCTGATGTTCAGGAATGGTTTTAGGTTTTTGAATGTTACAAGCCATGAGAACTCACTTATATTCTAAAAAGCCTGGAAATCTAGGTCAAATTTTTCCCTGTTCTAAGATGTCATTTCAATTTCACAGAGGAAGGATAGTTTTCTATTAAGGGTTAAATTCTCTGTATCGTTTAAGCCATCAGCTCACTGTAAAGCATTCTTTGAAGTGGAAGCATTCCCAAGTGTTTGCGTCTGCCCTCGCCCATGGGGAAACCGTAAAAGAAACCCTTGCCTGCAGCAGAAGTGTATCCCAGATCCATTATGGCACTCAAACCTGTGAGTGCTTGCAGGGGAGGCCAGGCAGATCCAGCAGCTTTTGTGTTTTTACTCTGTTCTTTCTGTTCGAGTGTTGCTTTTGGGAGGAGGGACTGTCTTGCTGCATGCTGAGCCTGCATCTGCATCAGTCTAACCCTTCTGCTAATAACTGTTGTGCACAGCGTCTCAGCTCTGTGTGTAAACCTGCTTTCTTTAGGTGACGTGACATAAATAGACTGTGCTGGCTCAAAGGTATTTACATAAACATTTGACTATCAAGCCGGGTGTGGGAAGGTGTTTCTAGGATGTTTCTATTTCTGTAGCTAAATTTGCATGTCTGTCTTAGACACAAGTTCTATATGTGGTTCTGGGGCTTAATTTTTATTATTTTGATTCTTATTCCCAAGTAAGAGCTCTTGGTGGTTGGGTTCTTTTTTTTTTTTAAATTTTCATAAGACGTCAGGCATCAACTTGCCACCAGACAGGAGACATTTCTAGGAGGTCCAGGCTTTGATATCACGTTTGTGTTCACAAATAAACCAAAACAAAATAAAAACCAAACAAAAACCAAAACCAAACCCACACCCCACAAAAAAAATTCCAAGCTTGAAAATCCCAGTGTGAACCAGTCTCTTATTCTTGCTGGGAATCTGGCGGTCATGGTCTTCATGAATATTGTCTTGATTCTCAGCACTCGGTGTTGTGCGTGGGCTGAGCAGTACTCCTGAAGTCCCGGAGGCTTTGGCTTCTAGGCAGATTGCCTCTCTCTTGATACGTTTTAGCGGGATGAGTCATGCCTTCTGTTGGCAAAGTCTGTTTCTAGACCTTGCTTCTGAATGATTAATTTTATTTGTAACTCTCTCTTCCTTCGCTTTTCGCTCCATAGCCTGGGCTCTTACTTGCACCAAAGGCCTTTATGGCTTCTTGATAAATAACACTTGGCAGCTGCGACTTCTGATTAATAACTTAGCAGATGTGTCGTTCAGTGGAAGGCAGGGAGGATGCGTACAGAAATCTTAAAGCACATTGCAGTTTGGCTTGTGTATTCCCCGCACAAAGAGACTCGGGGCCAAGAACCGCGCTCGTTCAGTGGGTGTGGAATTGGTGTGGGTTGGGAGTGGGAACATCTGTCCTGGGAGGCCAGTAAACCTATTTTTACTCAAGTGCTGCTTATAATAAGAGCTTCACTTGTAGCGGATCTCTCTGATGGATTGCAGTGACCTTTCTGCACATTGGTCAGGAGGAAGTCTACCCCCAGGGCACTTCCAGAGCTAATTAGGCAATGCTACTTCTGAACACAGGGTAACCTTCTGTTTTCTTCCTGCCCAGGATTAACCCTGCACCAGGGGCTTACCCCACCCAAAGCTACTACTGCTCTTCGCCTCCGGCTCTTCCTGCTTTCCAGATGCAGCATCCCAATGCTCAGAGCCAAGGGTTTCAACACAGCTGCACTCCAGGATGTGGCCATGCTCTGGGACACGAGGGATCTCAGCACGGCCATGCTGCAGGACACGGCCTCCCTTCGTCCCCCTACCAAGCCAGAGGTGCCTTCGGAGAACGTAACGCACAGGCCCACGCTGGAGCCTCGCCTGGACAGCCCTGCCAGCTGGGCAAGTTCTCTCCCCCACAGCGCGTGTGCCCGACTGATCCACAGACACCCGCAGGCGTGGGCCCCCTGGTTGGGGTTCAGCAAGCATCAGGGTATCCAGCAGCCACAGCAGCTCCTGTTTCAGCTGAATTTTCAAGAGTCCAGGTGTATTGACCCTCCATAAAGCAGCAGGACTCTCATACTGCGTCAGGACCGTTGTATGGGGCAATAAGGGCATGTCCCATCTACACTGAGGCTCTTAGCCTCTTATCTTGTTTACTGGTGTGATGTAAAGAGGGTAGATTTAGATAGATATAAGGAAGAAATTCTTCACTCTGAGGGTGGTGAGGTACTGGGACAGGTTGCCCAGAGAAGCTGTGGATGCCCCATCCCTGGAAGTGTTCCAGGTCAGGCTGGATGGGGCTTGGAGCAACCTGGTTTAGTGGAAGGTGTCCCTGCTCGTGGCAGGGGGGTTGGAACCAGATGATCTTTAAGGTCCCTTCCAACTCAAACCATTCTATGATGATTCTATGTAGGTAGGACTCAAAAGAGGTTGAAATCATGAAAGCCTTAGTTTATAACTTAATATTTGAGTGGAGGAGGACAGATGTCTGTTCTACCAGTGACTTCTCCACTAAGAGTGTGCCTTGAAGGGGGCTTGTTAAACCAGGGCTGGGGCAAGAAGACAGAATACAGAACACAGTTTTCTGTCCCCCAAAGCACAGCTCTGAAATGTTGAAGGTCCTTCTTAGCTGCAGTCTGTGCATGCATCAACACGTTGCCTTCGTTATCTGATAGCACTGCACAAGCTCAGCCTGTGTTGCCAGCGCTTGTCGATAAGGCAACCTCAGATGCATGCAAAGGAGTGGAAGACTCTTTAGTGAGGGATTTTGGCCATTTGTGGAGCAAATGTACATAAACTCAAGGAGCCGGGAGGGACCTTAACAGTGGGTTAGAATTAACTGGAATGTAGCAATTCCAGTGGGGGTGTTCACACTGCTCAGCTTTAGATATCTCACCCACCAATATTACCACAAGCTCTCTCTGTTTTCTTCAGGGCTGGTGGAAAGGTGTGTGGGAGAGGGGAGTTTTCAGCAAGGGATTCAGAGTAGGATGCAGTGTTTGGTGCCTGTGGCAGTAACGAAAGAGAGTGGTCGAGCTGGTGGGACTTGAGCTTTATTTCCAGCTGTGTAGCTGCTTTACTGTGCCATGCCCAGGAGGAATCTGCTGTCTCTGTGTCTATAAATCAGCCAGGATCTCAACTATAGCCCTTGATGCTTTGCTTAGAGTTTTGTTGTGCTCCAAAAAAAAAAAAAAAAAAAAAAGTGCTGCATGAAGCACAAAGTGCCATTACTGCTCTTGGAGATGTTCTTGCAGGGCCTAACCTGTCCCCCAGAAACTGTGATAGCCTCGGGGCTCTTCCATGCTATCAGTGAGCCGGCGTCATAGGCAGCATTGGCAGCTGCGTGCTCCAAAGCACGTACGTGCCTCTTTCTTTTCTCCCCTCTTCAGTGTCTGAAGAAGCCCCGTGTTGCCGTACAGCCACTTATTTCTCCAGAAGCCCTTCTGGGATGACTGCCACAGTTACATGTGGCCTCGCAGGGGCTTGCTTTGGGGGAAGACCAAAGTGAATGCTGAGGATTTTAGACCTCAGATGCACGCTAGTAAGAAGCTCTGCTTGCAAAGGTGGGCACCCCTGGGCAGGGGCTTTCTGCAGGAGGATGCAGCAATGTGGGAACCAGCCTGGAGCTGGTGGGAGGTCTGGAGTTGGTGGCCTGCTCCATCTCATCCCTGATTATTTCACTCCTCCACGGGATCACAAATGGACTTGGCTTCATGGTCCTGTTTTTTCCTGAACTGCCGACAGCAATTGCATTGTTATGTGTTTAGTGTAGAGCAAGAACAGGATAAGGTGCTTGTTTGGAACTTAAAAGCATGCTTTTAATACCGGGAAAGAAATGCTAGAGATAACATTGAAATGTTGATACTCCACTCTCTTTAGTGCCTTGATTTTCCTCCTTGTGAGATCCTCATCTGTAAACCTAGGAATTTTATCACTGTTTTTTTTCCAGAAATGTGCAGAAGGGTGATGAGGACTGGTAGCAATCGCAAATGTTGTATACCCCCAAACTCTGAGCTTGAAACACAATCTGAAAGACAAACTACGTCTCCAGTTTTGCTTTCAAGTAGGGAGCTGGAGCGTGCCTCTCCGGGTGGTGGGACGGTGGGGCAGGCTGCGGGTGTTTGATGGGCGCTAGCTGCGTGTCAGGCTGGTGACAAAGGACGCGCACTGGGGAAGAGCGGTACTGCATATTGGAAAACGCTTGTGGGGCTGGAAACCGGTTATTTTTCCTTCCCAGCTTTTATCAGTCGATCTGGTAAGAGGTTCGCTCTCCCTGCAGGGCTGTCAAAGGGATGACCTGTTGCCAGCAAGTAGTTTCATGGCTTTACAGTGGTAAAGGAAGCCCTGGCCTGTAAGAGTCACCGCAGCATCACTGCAGGCAGTGAGAACAGCCCCAAGCCTGGCTGGTGTGGGGAACAGACAGCAAACCTCCTTCCAGGAGGTAAGGTGGGCCCCTCGGCCCCGGCAGTGGGGGGACATGCCCATGTGCGAGGGAGCGCGCACCAGCCACTAACCATTCCGTGCTGGGACAAGGCGACCGCTGCAGCCTTCCAGATGAGCCCTGAGGATGGGACATGGCAGGATGGGCACAAAACCACAGTTTGGGTTTTTTTCCTTCTGCTCCCAGCTCTTTTGTGAGCTTCCTGATGACCTTGGCAGATCACTTCGTCTCTCTGATCTCTGCAGCTTCCACCATGTCCCCAGGGCTGTTCTGAGTCCAGCTGCACGACTGCCACGGCACCTACCTGTCACTTGCAATGTGTTGTACCTGTGTTCAGTGGCCTGCAGATGCACGTTTGCAAAGATATTTTTTTTTCTAGTGAAGTCTGTTCCCTGCCTTTCCTGAGGGCAGCTGTTTCACAGTGAAATGCTGTTGTATACATCAGCCGAGGACCTTCTGCTTCTCCAACCGTGGAATCCAAACAAGTCCCAGGTCCCCAGGGCTGCTGGCAAACTTGGAACTCCTTGCCCAGGGAAAGGAAATTGCTGGGAGAGAGGGAAGGGGTTGGGATGAGATGTTTGCAGACGTGTCTGAAAGCTGAAAGGAGGAATTAAATTTGTAAGAGAGGGAGGTAAAAAATCATCGGCTCATTGGGCTTTGGCATTTGCCTAACTAAGCTCACAGCAACGTTACTGATCGCACGTTGCAGTACCAGGTCATTTCCTTGGAGGGGAGACAGAGAATTAAAAGTTCCTAAAACGGTGGGGGGGAAGGAAAAAAAAACCTCGATAAACCCCCACTTCAGCCTGGGATGGCTGCCCTTGGGGAATGTGCTGTCCCTGAAGGTTTGTTATTTTGTGCCTCTGGTGCATTCCTAGTAAAACTGCTGCTTCTTTCAATGTCAGGATTGCATCTGCCCTGGAGGCAGGCTGCACAGTGAGTCCAGAACCCCCCCGGGTTGTCCCTGTGTCCTCGGGGGGTCACTGCAGAGCGACAAGAGTCTGGGGACAAGTGCTGGGAGCTGAGCCAGCCGTTCCCCTGTGCTCAGGGCAGGGGTCCTGCCATGGGAAGGATGCTCTGGGAGAGCCCAGCTCCATCCCCTCTGACCTTCTGTACCCACCATGGTGCAAGGGAAAAGGAACCAGGGTAAATGAGGAAAGCAAAACCACCTTGGACCTACATCACCACCCTGGCCGGGAGCAAGCGGGGTCCTGCAGTGTGGGGAGGCCTGGCAAGAGACACCGATGTCAAAAGAAAAAGGGGTCTGTATTTCTTTGCTTTCCTGTCGCCCGTTCGTTTGGGGCAAAGCACACGCATGCAGACAGTTACCCTGTGCTGGGGGCTGGGTTAGCGGTGCCAGGGCTGGGGCACTGCCGAACACCGCCACTGAGGCTGTCCCACTGGGTCCCGGCTTGTTTGCCGGCACCATGGAGAGTCTGTGGCCAAAAGTTCAGCCCCAGCCTGCGCTGGGGATGGAGGAGAGCTGGAGAGGTGTGAGCTCACACACGCCTTGTGCCGGCAGGGAGAAAGGCAAAGCACCAACCGAACAGGTCCCTGCAGGGTGGCCGGGCTGGGCTTCCTTGTCCACCCAGGGGGTTCGGGCTGGGCGTGATGAGACTCCAGATCCTTCCCTGCTGGGAACAGAACGGGCTGGGCTGTGCCATAATGCCTGCCCCACTCCAGGCACCCGCCGGAAAGGGGATGACCCCAAACCATGGACCATGGCGGTATTTCCCCTGCCTGCCAGTGGCATTTCACTCGCTGTCCCCTCGGGGCCGGTGCAGGCACGTCCTGGCCACTGTGATCTTTAACCTGTGGCCATTCACCTGGCTGGCTTAGCTGGCGCAGACTTTGCACCTTCCCTGAGGGTTTTATTGACTCTGAAGAGAACATCAACACAGGACCATGACCTCCCAGGTGCCAGTGCCTGGGCGGCCGAGGGAGGGGAACCAGCCCCGGGGTGACCCCACGCACGATGCCAGGGGGCCAGGACCTGGCTGCGGGGCTGCTTAGTGGGGCCTGGGGCAAGCTGTGCTCCTGGCTTTGGCCAGGCTGGGCTTAGCAGAGTCGTGACCTGGCTTCACAAAAAAAAGAGAGAGGAGAGCACCCGTCCCTCCGTGCCCGTGGGAGCTGAGGTCTGGGGATCCGGGTTGTGAAACCTCTCCTGCCGGGATTGCTGGGGACGTTTCCGGAGCCGCTTGTGCAACTCCCCGGTGGCAGCAGCACGAGCGTTATGAGCAAGGCCTCCCGAAAACATCTGAATCATCTGGTTTGCGGTTAAATCAGGAGCGCTTGCTTGCTCCAGCTGTAAGCCCCTCGTTTCCCAGGGAGGGGTGGTGGTGACCTGCTGCTGGGTCCCCCCCATCAGGGGATGCCGGCCCTCCCCTCTCCATCACGGAGGACCCAGGTGTCCAAGCCCGGCCCCCTGGGAGGGTGCCCCCTGCCACCCTGGGGTCCCCGGCCCCCTGCGGGCCCTGCTCCGGGCAACTGGCCTTGATGGGCTGGGGGGCTCTGCACCACCCCTGTGCACCCCCAGCCACGGCCGGGGGGCCTGGGCTGTGGGTCCCGGCTCGGACAACGCCTGTGTCCAAAGCTGCTTCGTGCTCTGAC